TCATTAAGCAACTTATATTACATTAACATAATTACATGAGATAATCATGTTAACATAATCTAAAAGTTCATGGTATATTTCAAATGATTCTCAAAATTAAATAAAGCAGTTATCATATAACGTACTCACCTGTACATTGTTAAGTTCATCTTCATACCGCCTGAGACGTGATACTTCAGACTTCAAACTATCGATTTCTGCAGTGGCTGCCTTTAAATGTTGCGTTTTTTCGTCCACTTCTTGTTCCTTAAATAGTAACTTCAATAAAAGGAAAAAATTTGCATAAACACAATAATATGTAACAAGAGTAATAATTAATAATAGGAACATTTCATAACATACTATATAAAACATACCAAATATTTAACTTTGGCCAATTCTTGTGTCTGTAAATCCTCTAATTGTTCTGCATCTTCTTTAAAACTGTATAATTTTTTTTTGTATTCTGAAACAGAGTATTTAATAAAATTATAAATGTAAAATAATCACGTATTACACACAGTTTCAAGTAGTTACTTTATTTTAATAAAACAGTAAATTTAGAGCATCGATATAAATTGACTAGGTAAACACATATATCTATACACATACCTTCGGCATCCTTTAAAGATAATTCTAATGAATTTTTTATGCGTTCTACATTTTGTAATTCTTCTTCCAATTTACTTTTTTCTTTCTCTTGTTTTTCTGCTAACTTCTTCCATTCCTTTTCTTTTTCAAGTAATCTTACTTTCCACTCCTCTTCTTTTTTTTCCATTCTTTTCAACATCTCTACTTCTTTCTTTGCTAACCTTTTTCGCCATTCTTCTTCTCTTGTTTCAAACCTTTTAATGTCTTTTGCAGAAAGTTGCATACCATCACTTAATTTAATGTCAAAACTATTATCTCTTTTCAAAGAAATAGGTGGAGAAGGTGATGCTGCATTTTCTTCACGAGAACCATCTAATGAAATTTGTGATCCACTAATACTACTTGTAGATCCTGCCTATTTAAGAAATTGAATTATTATTATTTCTCTAACGTAATAGTATCACAACAAAAATCGAATCATGAATATAAATTTACAGAAATTTTTTACAAGAAAAATAAATTTTCATCATTGAAAATAAAATAATTCTCAAAATAATGCTTAAAAGTACGTTTTGTATTTAAGTAATCTACAGGAATACTGCTGCTGAATATTCTTACAAGTTCCAAAGTACATATTAGCATAACCAGAAGCTAAGTATATGAGAGTAATACTAATGAATTGTTTGGGAAACATATGTAGAAGTGATGACTAATATTTCATTTAAATTACTGTTTGTGCATTTCAGATAATTAATAGCACTTTTAAACAGCCATGGAAAATTAATTACTGTCTATAAATAAATCCGTAATATACTTATCGTCGTAATATCGCTTCGCATTAATAATATTCCAACGAACATAAATAATATGTTTACCTGAGACATATGCCTAGAATTAATGCCGCGCACGTTGCCGGCATTTCTAACAACTGTTGACACATCGCTCCCAATTTCCTCTCGTATTTTATTTTTTAGCGTTGCAAACATAGTGCAATAACCTCCAAAGGGACGAGCAGTAATTGACAACTACCACCTGTCAATATCGATATTGTGCTGACTTTGGACCCGTATATACCAAGGCAGCGTTAAGAAAAATCGGAGAATAAAATCTTCACGTAATAGTAATTCATTCTTCAACGTTACATTGATTAATTCAATCTCAATGCGTCATCGTTTAATTTACGGTGCACTCACGGCCACAGCTATAAAAATTTCACAAACAATAATTGCCCTACACATTAGTGGCAGATGACTGCCATACTGGTGTCTGTTACTGGACTGGTGTGGTTACTCAGCAGAGTTGCCAGAATCGGCCGAAACACAGACGCAAATAGGGATGTGTGACGTAGTCACTAGTTTTCGAAGTTCTATTATGTACGTATGTGCGTGTATTAGCGTGCGTACGTCGTTTAAGTTTTGTTATTTATTTCATGAAATTAACACAACAAATATACTCAGCGTGAAATGTAAATGGCCAAAGTGTAGTCCACAAGAAAATATTTAATCTCTGCTGCTAATAAAAGAATTTCAAATGATAACTAAAAATTACACACTTAACAAATGTAGTTGGATTGGAAAAGAACAAGAACTATGTACTAAGTAGATGCAATACTTTTTATCGGTCTTTATACGGTCCTAATTACATAATAATATGCTCCAGTTTTATACTATACCACAGACTATACCTCATACAGACACCGCCGATGCTTTTATAAGTTCATATTTCTATCTTTCATCCAAACGATTAGATAAAAGAAGAAGAAAACGTTCCATGTGAAAAATTGGAAACTTTGGAAAGCGCGGTAATATTTAAAATATGATATAAGTAGACGATTAACAAAACTAAATAATTCCAAGATCTGAATATCACTGAAAAACTATTTTCTTCACGTCACATATTTAACTGAGTGTTAATACATATGTAATTTTACATTTATTTTATAAAGAATTTGGATTGTAGTAACTTCTCCCTAATTGACGCTCAGTATAAAAATGAACAATTTAAGGAGAGGTACGAGGTACGAGCCATGTGGCTCGTTTTTATAGTTGTTGACAATCGGTAATTATAAAAATGAGCCGCGAGACTCGAATAATCGTATCTCCTCTTCCCAAATTGTCCATTTTTGTGTTACTATCTGAGCGTTAATTAAGGAGAATTTACTGTATTCCCGTAAGATGTCGTGGTGTCGCTAGTTTTTTCTACTACTCTATGTTGGCAGAACTTCCACAGACTTATGGCGCGTATACGGATTACGGATGCATGGAGAATTACATAGTTCAAATTTAACGGTTTGTGAGTCGCGTGTGGCTTGTGTCATGTGTCATGAATTAGTCCGTGGGTTTGTGCAGATGTGATTTTTTGTGTTTTTTAATGTTATTTTATTATTGTGAATTTGGATAAGCCATGGGGGACGTCTGGGATGAAACGGCAGTAGGAAAAAGCGTTTACGAAATGTAAGTATAAATACATATCTACATTCTGAGTGTTGTATTGTGTTGTGTATTATTTTTGTCTCGCATGCCAGGGGGTCTGGGTTTTTCTTAAGTTAACCTTTGAATATTCTTTGAGATATGTTATTTGATGTGTATTTTTTATATGAGCAGGTTATAATCGTAGTGGCGTAGATCATATTTTTTTCATTATGAGAAATGGGGAGTGTTATTGTTTTCTAACATGTGTATTATTTATTGATCAAATTTATTATTAAGATAATTTGGAGTTAAATTAATATATAGTAACTTTATAATTTATTTCATTTGTCTTTTTAACATTATCGCATGTACATATATGTAGATAATATTTTAAGACAACGTCAAAATTTTTGAAAATTCTTTAAATCACTAATTGCTGTGTACCAATTATAAATTCTACAATGTAAAAATATAATAATCTACTTATTCAGATTATTCAAGACACTCGGCTTGATCATTACAAGCTACTTAAAATAGGTACAGTAAACTCTCCCTAATTGACGCTCAGACTGCACAAAAATGGACCATTTTGGAAGAGAAGATACGATTATTGGAGTCGCGCTGCTCGTTTTTATAGTTACCGATTGTCAACAATTAGCAATAATTACCGATTGCCACGAGGCTCGAATAATCGTACTTCCTCTTCCCAAATTGTCCATTTTTGTTTCCAAGCTGTGTGTCAATTAGGGAGAATTTACTCCACATATAGGTATATTTAACTTATTCGTTTTCTTCTGAGCCGTTCGATTGTCTCGAACCATTCGATTTCTTTCGAACTATGTATTCGGTTTCCTTCGAACTATTCGGTTATTCGTGTTCTCAGATCGGTTCGGAAAGCGAGTTTCGATTTTTTGTTCGAATTTCGAACTATTCGAATATCCGAACTTTCCGACACCTCCAATGGACACGGATATCCGTTACTACCAATACACGTGTATTGGTAGTAACGGATATCCGTGTCACAATAATAAAATAACATATATATGTTATTTTATTATTGTGATATATATGTGTATATTGTAACAACAAAATATTGCAATATTGCAATTATATTGTAACAGTACACACACACACACATGTTATTTTATTATTGTGATATATATGTGTATATTGTAACAGCAAAAAGGAATCGCCTTTTGCCGGAAAATGTAAATATATTAGCTTTTTTATGCACCAAAACAGAAAGTTATTGACTAGCAGCACTTCTTTGTCCTTGATAGAGTGAGACAATTTTTGTTTCTTGTATGTCTTCATTTATTTTCATCTCTAGATTTTCAGTTCTTGGGAGGAACGTATTTCGTTAAAGTGTTTATTACGTACAGGTTTGCCGCTACCGCCTCGCGGATGTGCGGTGTATGAGCGATACACTTTTTTTTCCTTTCTAGAACAATACAGTTGATATGACTGATACGGAGATATTTGAATTTAACGTATCTTCGCTGCATATGATGTACACATTCATATTTAGGATACTATGTATGAAATATTCGTCACGAGTCTGATTCATTGTTACAGTGCACAAAGTTCGAAATTATTAGATTTGTTCATTTTGGAATCTATTAATTGATGTTTTGTGTATCGTAAATTTGTTGTATCGCAAATAATCATATAAAGGAAGATTAGATATTTATAATTTAACAGCAAGTGTATTGAAAAACGTGTTTTATTATAATCAATTATTATCAAAGTTGAATTAGAAATTAATCAAAATTTGGAGTTGATTTACACGTATGTTGCATACTTTCCGCGAAGATTAAATATTTTATATCTATTTCTGGTACAAAATGAAGGAATAACCGCACTAGTGCCATACACTAGTTACAGTAAATATATTTTAGATATGTAAGAAGTCCAAATTAAATAGATATTCATTTAAATATATTTACGATATTTAAATGTGATAGTTTTTATCTGAGATGCAAATTACACCCTAACCTTATCTATCCCTTATTTAAACAGTTATCATCTAGAGGTCTAGGTTAAAATCGCTCTTCATTATACATAGTGGTTCTCAGATCATGACATTAATGACGGTCTTAAAAATAATCTATTTTGTTACTTTTTTTTAGGATAGCAAACTTTAGTATGATTTTTATAAAAATTGTCATATACGATAATTCACTCTCTTGACAATTGTCAATGAAAATAGAAATTCGTGTAAACGTCCACTCTCTAGGAAATACAAAGCTGTACAAACTTAAGAAATAATTTTTCCCGCGATGATTAATATGCCGCGTAAATTTTTCGTAGAACTATATGATAACAGAATTTACTTTACGAAAAGTGGGGATCATGAAACGGGTGATAGATATACCGGGTAATAACGGATGTGTATTCAATCATAATCTTACACGTCAGATTCTCTTGAAATTCCCTGGATTCGCGAAATACACGTTCCGACTATATCATTAATTGCATTTATGAAGTTGCGATGCACGAAATAATTAGGAGTTTTATAAAGGAGTAATATAAATAATTAGGAGAAAATTACATACTTACGAAATTTTATTGATTATGTGAAGGTACTATACAATAGGTCATAGAATTATTTTAGTACATTTGGAGCATTAAGAACATTATAATAGAAACATTAAGAAAAATTATTTATATTATTCTTGATATGTTTGTAAACAATACTACACATTACTATATAAATAATATTCTAAAGAAAACACAAAGGTACAGAAAATAATCTTAAGTTGCGTGAGAATGTATTTTTCCAATCTTAAGAATTGAAATTTTCTATTTTAAGGCTCTTTGTACCCTTTCCGATAAAGAATAGTTTTTAAAACCTTTTTTTCGTTCCGTTTCTATATTATTGCGTTTCAGCTATGAAGTCGTTTTTACTTTTCTCTATATACGATAACAGTACTCAACTGGTGGTTTTGCTTCATTAAATGATAATATAATAGTAATATATATATATAATAATAATCATATATATATAATATATAATAATCAAATAATAAACAAATGCCATAATGTATTTGTGCCATTGGCATAAATGCCAATAACGTGATTGATGTGAGTTCGTTGATGTAATTATCAGCAAGTTATATAATTGACATAAATCTACAGAACGTACTTTTTAAATGCTCAGTACACATTCGGATAAAACGATTGCAAAAAACGATCTTTGATATCTTCTCCGCGACTTCGACCAATAACGTCTTGTATATAATTAGACTGCGAATTTTATGCATTTATGACAAAAATGAATAGGTCAAATATAAGACCGTAAAAATATTAGAAGAATTTGACGATATTGTTACAGTATTTTTAACTTATTACAATTATTAACAGAGGAAGGACATTACCATTTAACTTATATTTCTTACAATTTATTTAAGCAATTTTTATTAATAAAGATTTACAGTTTAGTTATTACTTTACTTAAACGACTCGTACAACAATAAACTTGGACTAATTTAAGAGCTTGAAGTTTCTACTTTTGCTATCATTGTTTCGTAAAATGTGTTTGCATAATAGGGTAGATAAATAGGGTAGATAAATGCTCATTTTTGAAAATGTTACAGATTGAAACGACCGTAAATACATTCGGCAATTTTTTTCATAGCTGATCCGAACATAGATTTGAAGATTGAAGCGTCCCCTTTACAATGACTCATTGTATTTTAGTGTATGATGTTTTTTAATCGTTTTATTGAACTTTGAATGAACGGTGTACCTTATACTTTACAGTTTACAGTTTTATTGTGTGTGGTTATCAGAGCTTCAATCTTCAAATCCATGGAAATTCATTCATGGAAAAAATTTTCCAATGTTTTTGGAGGCGCCACAACTTATAGCATTTCCAAGTAAGTCTAAGTCTTTACTTTTCTGGTAAGTATATCATGTAAGAGCATGATAAGAAGAAATTATAAAATAAGTCCATGATTATTGTCCTACAACTCGTTTATATTAACTAGTTAGCTTTTTTTACGAGTACACTCGTCACGATAAAATGACAATAATTGTGCCATGACGAGTATACTGCCTTCCTTAGTTAAATTGCCCTAACATTTCTGGTCACCCAAAGAATGAAGCTTTCAATTAATAAAATCATTTTTAAATAAATGAGAACTTATTTGGTAAACTTGGAAAACTTTAGGTACTTGGAATGATAAAAAAAAATAAAAAAACTCTCGTTTTTTTTAATTTTTTATCTGAGTCTCAAACAAAAATTTAAAAAATGCCTTTCGTAGATCTTGGTAACTTATATGTGTGCTGAAAATTTGATCGAAATCGGTTAACCCAGAGTCGAGCTGTAGGCGTCGTAAAGATTTAAAAAACTGCAGATTTCTTCTAGTTTTTAATCAAAATCGTTATAAAACTGCCATTTTTGTAATTTTTAATTTGTTGTAACTCACAACAATGTCAACTGATTTCGATTCAATTTTCAACATAAATATCAGATAAAAAAAGTTAAAAAACGAGTCATTCTAAACAATAGCAAAATTTAAAAAAAGCATTTTGGACATCGTCTAGTAAACCAGTCCCACTACCATCTAAAAAAAATTCAAGTCACCAGTTTTAAAAAAGTTATTGCGTTTTAAAAGGTGTACGAACACTTTTGTGGGACATTATGTTTGTCATCGCTTACATTCTGAAACATATTTTAGGTAGACACTTTTCCAAGAAGTTGCAGCAGTTAATTGGTCAAATTTTAACTAGACTGCGGATCTTCATGCAAAATAAAAATTGTCAAAGTTAATTTAAAAAAATATAATTTAGATGAAAATGTTTTTTCTCTTTCGACACTAGATTTACCACACCAGTCAAAATGACTGGTTCTTGGCTTTTTATTTTACAATTTCTGAAATCAAGGAAATATTTCTATGAGAATTTTTTAAATAAACTCTTAGTTCTTCAAGCATATACTATAACAGAAATGACATGGGGTTTAAATAAATTCAAGCTTGTAGTTGTTTTAAATCATTATACATTAGTCGCTATATTAGGACTCGGTAGTTCGTGTCGTGAAAATGTCTTTTCTCTTTCAACACTAGATTTACCACACCAGTCAAAATGACTGGTTCCTGACTTTTTCTTTTACAATTTCTGATATTAAAGAAATATTTCTATAAGAATTTTTTAAATAAACTTAGTTCTTCAAGCATATACTATAATAGAAATGACATGGGGTTTAAATAAATTCAAGCTTGTCGTTTTTTTAAATCATTATACATTAGTCGCTATATTAGGACTCGGTAGTTCGTGTTAATAATTGTCATAAATTGAAAACAATGTAAGAATATCCACAAATCCTTCTAATGTCGTTACGGTTTTGTATTCGACCTGTTAACTTTTGACGTAAACGCACAAAATCCGCGGCTTTTATGATGACATTTTAAGCACCGAGAATTCGTCGGAAATTGAAAATACAATAACGAGACTCTCTGGAGCCACGGTAAGCTCGCAAATTCACACAGTGAACTTCAGAGGCTCCATTGAGAGGCACTGCGTTTGACCGATAGGCACCGGGTCTGTTGCGTTTCATTTCGTCCGCCGCAACCCTGTTCCTATCTGTTTTTGTCGTACGGCTCTACCACGGTGCACGTACGCCGTCTGCTCTTTATCTTGGCAACGGGCTTTCTCCTCTCGTTCTTGCAGCTGCACGGGGTAGTTCTGTCCATCTCGGTTCCACACGAACGCAACGCAGCAGAGCCCCCCCCCCCCTTGGCTGCACGAATCTTCCCGACCTTAAACCCTCTGCGTCGCTCCTTGGTGCCTGCCTGCCTCCCGACCTCTCCGCTCGGCTGTGCCGCCTCAGTTGCGTTCAATCCGTCGTCGAAGCACCGAGGGTCGCGCCACGACCAACCAAGTATCCGTGTTCGAATTGACGTGTTTATCACAGAAAACACAGTCCCGCGATTGACCGATTAACGGACTCGAGTCGTTCGATTCGTCTCCCTTTATATATTTTTATGTGACAATCGTGATCTACAATGGAAAACAGCAGACCGACTAGAAAGCGATCGCTTTCGTCCAAGCGGACGGTATTCAAGTACAAACTGCTGATCCAGTGACTGAGTGCAGTGTTCGGTGGACCGTCGTATATTCACTGTCAATTGTTTCTCTTTCGGGTCTCTTTTTGACCGGAATCCGTGTCGAGCCCGAAGAGGGTTGGTGCGGAACAGACGAACACTAGTGATCGAGATACCGCGATACGGACGTGTGTTGTATTCGTCTAGCGAGAGTTATCATCACATTGATCGGTCCAGAGGCATATACCGTGCTCGTGCTAACACAGATATCCGCTACGGCCGTGGTGATCTCTTTCGGCCGCCCGAAAAGTCGCGGACGATTACGGTTGATAACCTCGCGTCAATTGTGATCAACGGTGATTTCCATAAGACTGACAGGACTTATATCGTAGTCTGATATGCCAGCTTGAGACACTTACCAAAAACTCTCTGTTGACATATTATACACATTCTGTGCCAAATAAACGTGCCAAAGTGTTTCATTGAAAGTACAAGTTTTATTAGTATTATTTTAGCGTGTTTACTGTTAACGTTGTCGTCGATTGTTCGTTTTTTATACCGTTACGTTTTGTAAGTTCGTTTTCTACATTATAAGCGTCGAGACTGAGGGGTGGATCGAACTGTTCGCGACCAGTGGTACTTTTCTACACAGACGATATTTTTAAACGCACTAATGAGGAACAATTACCGCAACATGTTTTTCGCCGGCTACGGATGTTCCAATCAGCAACAGAACAGTCCACCATCGCCGACCAGGGCAGGCCAGTGGGGTAGCGTTTACAGCCCGTTTCGCAAGTGAGTATACTCGACAGCACCCTCTCGCCTATGCTATTGGAAATAGGGGAAACAGATTTCGAAATTCCTACCCTACCGAATATTTATTAATATTCGGTTATCATTTCGCAGCGGGAACTACATCGAGCGGTTATTTTTGGATGAACCCTTCCACTGTGTTCTCCTAATTGCTATACGTATTTATAGATGTCACTTTTGTGAAGCTCTCTCTCTCTCTCTCTCTATCCGAAGCAAAAAGATAATTGCACATCAATTTAGAGTTTCATTTCAAAATATATATGTGCAAGAGTTACGTTGAATTTATTACCTCTAGAAGGCTTAGGGTAAATTCTTAGTAATAAACCCTTAGGGTTAAATCCTTTTAATGCTGAACATTTTAGAAAATGTTGTTTTCTTAATATTTTTAATAAAGAATAGTTTCATTTCTTTGTTTATTGAATTCTCTAATAATCAAGTTTTACCAAATTTTTGTATCATTTTTTTCCGTATCTTTGCGCAACTACGTCAAACTCGTTTGGTGTTCTTCACTCGGGTACACAACTCTTGGTCGGTACTAAAAGGGTTAAGGTCTGCCGAGGGAAGGTCATTTTGTGTCCGTGTAAGGAAAAGTGTTATAAATATTATTTGTTCTGTTCGAGGTACACATATTGATTTAAACAATACTGTCAAATAATACATTTAGGTACTCGCAAAAATAAAATATAGAAAATTTATAGAAGAATATTGTTAGACCAAAAATACATGTCTAAAATTATGTAGACATTTGTTGACCCTCCCTTAACCGTTTGAGTCCTCAGAAAATACGCGTACTATTGGATTATAAATAACACACAAAATGTGTTAGTTGTATTATTTACATTTAAAAAAAAGCAGCTATCCGATGTACGTGCGTCAGCAAAGTTGAGCGCGCTACTTCGACAGTCTGTGTAAGTGCACCCCGTTGGTTGTCTGTAGCGTTCAATTGTTCTGGGACATTTCGACAAAAAATCTAAACAGCGCGATCACGCTGCTTGGGTCTCATAGGGTTAATCTTTTGAGTTTTGAATACTCCTGGCAGAAACGGTTCGTAGGGACGGAGCGCGGCTATCGCTGACCATCGCTGGGGGCGGAATACTTTTTTTGCCACACTGAAGTGACTATTCAAGGCGCAAACAGTAATAAATTATACAAGATGATACTGCTGACTAAGTCGTTTTGAGTGCTTTGAGTCGCGAAAAGGCGACAGTGCAGGTAATTATTTTGAAATCTAATTGGTTAGATAGTGGGACATAAAATGGGATTTCCGTTTGGGAAATTCCCGGTGATTTTTATGACCCTAATATTGCCCACACAACCGCTACCTAAGGAAGACAAATTACTAACGAGTGCCCCTGTATTAATTCTACACGAAAATAACTGCATATTGATTGAAAAAATCGACGAACGCATATATGCGCCCTTAGTCCAGGCCGATGACTTAGAGAAAACACATAAATGCGGCCTTAGGCTACACGGATGACTTTCGCCAAACGCATATATGCGTCCATAGAGCTCTAAGGGTTAAGCATGCTAGGGTATAGCTAACTATGTACAGAGGGTGGACGCTAAGGGATGGGTTAGCACTGTCTCGATTTCTCGAAACATGTCGAGTAGGATCTTCGTCAAGTTCATTAATTTTTTATAACTCATTGTAACTTCGAAGTGCTGTTGAATCTAATTTCATTTTTAAACACAACTTTTACTTTACGCATCAACTTCAATTGTTTTTCTAAGTTATGAACTTGTCGTTAATTTATATTTAGAGATTGATATTTGCCGGTTTCGAGGTGTATAAATGTTTCTATATTGATATACAAAATTCGGACCGTAGAGGGTTGAATTGCTTAATAATTGGGAACTTAGTTTTCGCAGTTTGATGTTGGTGGCGAAACAGGATTAGTTTAGTAGGAGAATTTACAGTGACTCGCATTAATATTTAAACACCTTTTAAAATAGAATAACTTCTTTTAAAGTGGACGAAATTACCTGTATCTTTGTTGTAATGTTACACAGATTTAGTTTACTAGGCAATATCTACAAAACTTTTTCGAAAAATTGTAATCGATTGGAGTCTTTTTATGAGCTACAAATAATTAAAGATATCGAAATTCGAAGTTTTTAACAACTTTCGTTATAGTAACAGCAAAATTACAATAAAGAAAAAGTATTTTAGTCATTGTACAGTATACTAATCCCCCTAACATCTCCAAAACACTCCAGCTATTTTCGTTCAATTTAACAAAAGTTATTCTATTTTAAAATGTGGCTTTGCGGCTCGAGACGCAAGGCTCGTTTAATCGTAGCTTCTCATCCCAAATTGTCCATTTGTGTTTCCAAGCTGAATGTCAATTAGGGAGAATTTACTGTATATATAGTTGCAAATTAATGAACATTTTATCTGTCATCCATTGAGCTCCAAAATTATTCTGAAAAATGTACAGGTCAATAGTTACATTTTCTTCATTCATTTTTGGAATGCATAGATTTTTAGATCAACAAGGTTAATTTAACAAGGTTAATTAGCATTTTTATTTTCTTTTTACGAGTAATCTTTTAGTTGACGAAGAATGCACTTCTTCAACAGCTTAAATAAAAAAGACGAGTCTTGTCCACAAACATTTTCTGTGCCAAACTCGAGTTTGCACGTCACCCGCTGCATATTTAAATGCATATTTATGCATATTTAAATACATAAAAACCATATAAATTTCTTCTAACTGTTAAAAGAATTTTTATGACATTTACATATGCTTTTGCCTCTTTTTTCTATCTAAAATAATAGTTATAGTTATAGTTGTAACGAATATTAGAAAGTAAACAATATTAAAAAGGAATTTAAACAGTTTGTAAATTTCGTTGAGAATAATTTCAATTATGTTGAGAATTCTTTTCTTAATATCATTGCAACTTAAAAAGGATATTTTTCAATTTTTATTTAATATTAGCGTTGCTTTATTAATTTTTATTACAAATGAAATAGTGTCCATAATGATATAAACATATTAAATAAAAAAGACATATTACATTGCCCGCGTACGCACGTTTCTTTGAAAATAAATCGTAAGGCAAGGGGTTAATACGAATTATTATGAAATCTCATGTATGAAAATACGAGTTTTCATAAATATCTGCAGTCTAGTTACATCGACAGAAGAAGCGAACGTGGTGGAGAGGAGATGGTGGATCAAAAAGACTAAAGCTACATAAAAGATGCTTACCCCCTACATGACCTAAATTTAGATTGTTTGTCGTGAATATTTCGGGGCAAACCGTGGCCTGTTACTTTCCCGATGCGTGACGGCTGGTCCCGGTTTGACAGCTACGAATAACAGTGGAAACTCTTTCATTGTGGGAATGAATATCAAAGAAACCGTCCCAGATGCAGTTTTTGTGCACGTTTTTATGTTCCGCGAAACTGGAGAGTCATTGCACTATAATGAAACGCACTCGAAACATGCTCGATGCGGGTCAATGTTTTTCAGGAGTTTGTTCTTTGTCTTCGTTCATCATGATAATTTAATCAAAGCAACAATGCTCGTTGAAATTGATAACGGTCTCTACTAATTGGATCTATCGAATAATTAGGTTAGTGCAGATGAAATCGAATTTGCATTGTACATTCAAGGTTTTCATAACACATAAATAGAATTTTATTTAAATTTATATTATTATACACATATATGCATGTTTATATTTATATTATATATATATATATATTATATATTATATTATTAGTATATATATTGTATATATATATATATATATGTGTATGTATATGTATATACATACATATACATTACAAAATGAATTATATATTTTTATAAAAATTTATTTGTAATGAAGAATATAGGTTAATGGACCAGTTAAAATCAATCTCGTGGTACAATCATGTAAAACTTCGTGTATTGGCAATAATGGAAGATCAGTTTATCAAGTACAAAAAGAAGGCAATTATTTTGGAGATGAATATACGAAGTACACTTTATAAGTAAAGAGGAGATTCATTCTACATACTTGCATGTTTATATTTTCCATGAATAAAAATCAGAAATAAAGTTTTCAATTAAAAATTATTTCATATTAAAAGGGTATCGATTCGCAGACTTCGATGTATTTGTAGAAACAAAAGTTAGATATAAATTGCTACTGGAACTTCTGATTTATTCTCAATTATACGTAGAAATCATTAGTTAAATGTCTTTTGAAAAATCAACGCTTCACTTGTCTCAACTTGAAACTGACAAAATGTTTAAATTTTATTTATTGTAAAAAGAAATATTTTAATTTGCAATCAAATAAAAGAAGATCCCAAATACGTTGGGCCATACAAAATTAGTCGTAAAATAATGATGGTCGAAGTATTAAGTTTTTGTTTGGACGTTTGGACTTCTTTTCTTTGGCGTAACACACACGGTGCGTGAAGATATTCTAAAAGCGTTGCTGATAAAACTATGATGACAGGAATATCACGGCCTTGGACCGTAAAGAGTTCAGATGTGCCCAGCGTAGAACGGATTTACTTGAGATATTTATAAGCTTGAAAAATATTTTATTCATCAAATTTTTCATAATCCAATAAATTATTTGGATTAATATAATATGACGCGTTCATTTGTAATTATTATTTTTAAAAAATTGTCGAGCTTTGTTTATATACAACTCAGTCATCAAAATTCCTATTAATAGACATCCGATAACTAAAGTGTTAATATAAAACATGAATTATAGAAGGTGATAAATGAAGAGATTTGAAAATTTTAGCGTAGATCGCACGTGGGAATTAATACTCTGAATGAATAGTCTCATAATGTTTCACGGCGATATTGCATGTTGCATGCAATGTTTTGGAAACACTGATTCTTCCGTTCACACCTTGCAAGCTCGTACGATCATCGTATGAAGTCTACTGCGTTTCACAAGAGATAGCGAGGCAATATGAAAGGAAATGAAAAATTCTGAAATAACCTTGGCCTATAGATACT